TAAAATAAAAATTAATTATAAATTCAATATATAATATTTTAAAAAGTTCTATAAATATGAAAAATAAGCAACTAAAAACTCTTAGTATTTTAAAATAATACCAAAAATATGCAATTTAATTATCTTACATAGTATAAAATTTTCTTAAAATTAAGCATTATAAAATTCTTACATCATAAAATTTTTCTATGTTGGTTAAGCACCTTGGTACCTTACATATATAAGCATTTTCCGGAGTCCTATCAGCATACTACAAAAACTGCGGTACCCAACCTGTCATCCCTTATCACCTGAGTGATCATCGATTTTGAAATTGTAATACCAAGCCACCATGACGATCAAATTTTCCAGTATCCCCCCATCCCCAAAGAAAATAAGGTTACATCGAAAAAAGTGACCAAGAAAAATAAAAAGCAAAAAATAAAAACATAAACCTCAGGAAAATTTGAAGTGCAATGAAAAAAATCTGAGTAAAAAACACCAAATATACACCTCAACTCTGTCTCCTTATTTTAGAAGACTAACTCCCCTGTTAACAACATCAACTAGCAAGAAATACATTAGTCAAAAGCTCCTTCCAAGAAATACCAGTCCAGCCTGTGAACCACTTGGCCAGTTAGATTTTAAAGGCGTAGGAACTAAGAGTCCAAGACACACTACTTTTCAACCTTTCAGAAAGCCCAGGGAACGTTAGTATGGAACTGCCATCTTACAGTATTATTGGTAACTCCAAGACTTATGATAACGGTCCTAACTTAATATAAGCCGTAAGGAGTTCAAGTGAAATTAAAGACCTCGGTAATAACTTCATATAACGTCAAAAAGTCCTTTTACTATCATTCAAGGCTAAAAATCCTCATATTTTTCATCCATGTTTTGGGAAAAAATGGGCAGAGCCCAATGGGAGAGAAAGTATGATAATCGCTTAAGTCACACTTTTGGCAGATTGGCCTATTTTTCAGGGGTTCAAAAAATCGTTTTTTGTAAATATTTCGGCTAGAGCTCCGAATGGTTCTGGTTTGAACCGGAAACCGATCCGAAACTGACCAAAAATTTGGTTCGATTCTCAGTTCAGTTTTGGAACCGAAACCGTTCATTTCAGTTCAGTTCTATTTTATTTTAAGAAAAAATGCAAAAATAGAAATAACTCAGCAACTAGTGATCGTATAAAGACGTACAATAGCTCATTAGAATCGTCTCATTGAGACGCGTCGAATAGTAGTAAGATCATCGCTCTAGCCTCGATATATCACAAGATAATCAATGCTAAACATTTTTATAAAACTAGTGATAGAATCGTATCTATTGATCCTAGGAACATAATCCTGGCATCATTTGATAGGTCTTAATGAGACGAATCTAATGAGCTTTTTTTTATTTTTTTATGATCACTACATAACGAGTTATCTTAATGTTTGCATTTTTTTAAATTTTTGAACGTCAAAAAATAAAAATTCCAATCTAAGATATAACCCATCATCTACTATCTACTGATTATATTAGAATGATCTATGGCTCATTAGAACTGTCTCATTGAGATGAATTGAATGACGGTAAGATCATGTCTCTAGCATCGGTATATCATGAGATAAATCATGCTAAGCAATTTTAGAAAATCAGCATTAGAAAGGTATCTATTGATGCTAGAGACATGATCTTACCGTCATTCAACTCGTCTCAATGAGATGGTTCTAATGAGCCATAGATCGTTCTAATATAATCAGTAGATGATGGGTTATATCTTAGATTGGAATTTTTATTTTTTGATGTTCAAAAATTTAAAAAAAATGTGAAAATTAAGATAACTCGTTATGTAGTAATCATAAAAAAATGAAAAAAGGCTCATTAGATTCGTCTCATTAAGACCTATCAAATGATGCCAAGATCATGTCTTTAGGATCAATAGATACGATTCTATTACTAGTTTTATAAAAAATGTTTAGCATTGATTATCTCGTGATATATCGAGGCTAGAGCGATGATCTTACCACTATTCGACGCGTCTTTATGAGACGATTCTAATGAGCTATTGCACGTCTTTATACGATCACTGGTTGCCTATTTATTTCGATTTTCGCATTTTTTTTAAATCAGATAGAACCGAACTGAACTGGACGGTTCCAGTTCAGTTTTCATTCAGTTTCAGTTCCAATCTGAACTGGAAAAAACCCGCACTGAACCAACCTGTTCAGAGCTTTAATCTCAGCATCCAGTGTGCCAATTTTGATGAACTTTTTTTTAATTGTAGAGCTAAATGAGGGCTACAAAATAAAAAAATTCATTAAAATTGAATCACTGGATGTTGAGATATTTACAAAAAAGGGTGTTTTTGGCCAAAAGTCCATTATGACCTTTATATTAGATATCCGGGGTTCTGTATTAGTATGGACTATAGCAGCGTCTAATGCCTGTCTAGCTGATTCCTCAGCTTTTGATATAATAGTGGGAAATATCTGAGATTGGTATTTATGATATGCTTGTTTGCAACTTTGAGTAGTAATACCCATAACTGCCAATGCAGTTTGTATTGTATAACGATTAATACCACTTGCCAAAGCTGATGCTGCAACAAGATGTGAAAAGTTGATCCCTTTGGATTGATTAGAATATAAATCAATTGTACTACATATTTGACAATCGATGTCAATTATAATATTAAAACCAACATACGATACATGATAAAATTTATTTTGAAGATCAGTGTTATAACAATGGTTACAAGGATGAGAAAGAACAAGAGAAAGATATTGCTCTGTGCTAATTAAAATTGTAGATCCTAATTTTTTTTGTCTAATATATCATCTACTGATTTCTTTATTTTCTCAGATTTTTGATTTATTAAGTCAGTTTTATTATCTAAATTGGATCTTTCATTTTGAAATACTGCAACCTTAGTTTTTAACTGTTTAATATTATGATTAGCATTGTATAATGCTGATTTGTCCTTTTCATGCATCACCATAAAAGTTTGTGTAAATTTTGGATTAATAATTTTTCCTTTTTCTTCCAATTTTATTCCACAAACAATGTTTTCTTCGTTATTACAAAATTTTTCAAGTTCATCACTTTTTTGTTTAAGACTACAAATTAAAATCTTTTCTTTTTTAGTTTGACCTTGATGAGAAAAACGGTCTGGAAAAACCTTATGAATTGTCTTTTACAAAATTTCTATTATAATAGGTTCGGTAAGCCTCAAAACTGAAGTAAGAGATACAGTCAACTCTCTTTATAGTCACACATTTGGGACAGTCCATATTTGGTGATTATAAAGAGATGTGACTATATAAAAAATTTCTTATATTTGTATATCATAATTATGGCCAAAAATTAACATAATTTTAGCCAGAATTATACTTAAAACTTTATTGTATCGTAACTTCGCCAATATTAATCGTAGAGAGATGATCTTACCGCCATTCGATTCGTCTTGATGAGTCGGTTCTAATGGTATAAAATACGTCGAAATCCAATCACTAGATTAATTTCTGAAATTAAAAAAATATTAATGGTTTTTGTGTAATAACTCTGCCAATATTAATCCTAGAAAGACAACTACCATTCGATTCGTCTTGATGAGACGAATCTAATGGTATAAGATACATCGAAATCCAATCACTAGATCAATTTCCGAAATTAAAAAATATTAAATGGTTTTTAAGTAATAACTCCGTCAATATTGATCACAGAGAGATGAGCTTACCACCATTCGATTCGTCTCGATGAGGCGATTCTAACGAGCTATAAATTGTCTTTTTATAATCACTAGGTACTGAGAAATCTAGCAAAATGTTAAATGGCGCAGTAAACGTAAATCAAGAAATATTATAATGCCGATGTTTAACATTTTGTTGAATAACTCGTCAGCCAGTGATCGGAAAAGGATAAAACTCTATTTCACCTTTGGCACTTTGTAATGCTCCATGCTTGTTAACTTTTAATTCTTTACCTATTGACGTGAATATTCATCATTTTTTCCGCTCTATAGCAGACGCTCGTGCTCTTTTATCTTTCTGTTCATTGGCACGTTTTACTGCTCTTGGTTCTCCTTCACTTTTTGATTGGGCTGGTATATATTTTTGCCTTTCACAAATTAAAGGTTTTGCTTCGCATAAGAATGGTCGTCCTGAATTCTGGATCTTCCGTATCAAACTCTTTTTGGATATGTTGCCTACCTTAACTACTCTTCAACAACGCAAACCTCATTTGTATTCTCCCGATTGGCTTTGTCCACAATGCAATTCTGCTCCTGAAGATCTGAATCATCTTTGGACTTGTCCTTATATTCTCCCAGATTTAAATCCGTGTTTAACATATCGTTCTGAAATTATCAAATTCAGAGATTCTTGTTTATCTTCGTTCTTATCTCTGAAGCCTTTGGATATCACCTTCCAAGCTGGATTCTTTGCTTTAGATTGTTGGAATTATGAATCTCCTTCTCCATCCTGTCTTTGGCTTACCAGAGTACTATTACCTGCGCATTTAACGGCATTTTTGAATCAACATTTTCCTCTCTCTATTATATACAAGTTTATCTCTCCTCTTCTTAATGACTTCCAAATCGAACTTTATGGTGAGATTTGGTTGTGTCGGAATGTTCTTTTCCATGCTTGGGAAGAGTCACAGGGTATCTCGGCTGCTTCTAAATTACGTGGCCCATCTGCAAATTCCTCTTCTATTGCTACTTCTTCACAAAAACACAACTCTTCTTTGGCGACAGTTTCTCAGGATTCCTGGATTTCTTGGATATCCTCTTCTATAATTCGGGGTGGATCTTGGATCTCACACTTGGATTTTCTGCGCCGCTTAACAGTTCAACCTCTTAGGATTTCTTTCTGGTAACGGACTGGATTTTTGGATGTTGGATAGTTGACTCACACTGGCCTTCGGGTAAAGTTGGGGTATGCGATTCTGTAATAGTTTAGTTTTTCTTTGCTTTAATTTATTTTAGTTTAGATTTCTTTACTTGTATGAGTCGTGAAGCTACTCTTTTTATTTTTTATTAGTTTATTTTCTTATTTTTGTAATATTGTTCGATTATATCTTCAAAATTTAAAATATAAATAAAAGATAAAGTCACAAGACTGTTTGCACAGGAAAAGGATAAAACTAAGGGTTGGTCACCCTATCTCGGTGGTTAGTCACTGAGACCCTCATTAAGTCTAAGTATGGTGAGGTCGCAGGTTCGATTCCCATGACCACAGAAATAAAAAGAATTTTACTGCTGACGCTACAACCAATAGTGTGAAGGTACAGGGATTAGTGTAGTTGGACTGCATCATGGTGAATTAGTGTGTACGGTTAGGCCGCACATTTCAACTAAGGGTCATGGTGTCCTTCTAACGTTCCCTATGAGGCCATTGGCATGTGCGCAGTCCTGTCCTTGAGGTCACTACTATACCTTGGGGGGGACTTCCTGTCCAGGTGGTCACTCCACGATACCACTTGGGGTCAGTAATGGCTAGATGATCGTCCTAGATGGTAAAGCTGAGGGTGCAATGTCTTAGTGGTAGTTAGACCTTCTGTTAGGTCTTAGACCAACCAAGGTGTTCGTGCACAGAACAGGTAGCATAGCTATTGGGTTCGATTCTCTACTCCTTGGGTCCTGGTTGGTGATCCCTGGTGGTTGATACCCACCATAAGGGGTGATCCTGGACAGATGCCTGCTACTTCCTGTCCGAGTGGTCACTACAAAGTATACCACTTGGGGTAAACAACTGTACTATCAGTGCTAAGTAATCGCGGGCTGTAGTGGCCTTTGAGTGAGACTTAGTACCTAAAATGGTGGTATGGAAGGGTACTAGATGGTTGATGTTACCTGTCAAAAGTCCTCCATGAAAGTAGATGCTCTCTAAAGGTCGTTAAATAAATTGAGTATCAGTATCATGCAATGGGTATAGGATGAGTAGGCGGCGTGTACCTAGCTTCAGATCAGCCTAAAATGGCCTGATGGGAGATGTCTTCTATAGTAGTGCTGTTACCTGAGGAATTAAGTACTCGGTATAATGGTTGCCCAGTGAAGATGATAAAACACAGACCCGAGATTAGTCTCATAAGAGGCAATGGATGGTCTGGCCGTAAACACTAGCATAGGAAAAGGATAAAACTACCACCATTCGATTCGTTTCAGTGAGACGATTCTAACAAGCTATGATACATCTTTGTATGATTATTAGATGCCAAGTTATTTAATATATTTTTTATATAACTGTGATTATAAACGGTTCTTTTTAATATAAGATTTTTGAGGATAGGTGTGATAGTGACTATAGATAGATTGTGACTATATAGGATAG